CGTTATTTTCGGCTCATTAAAGATTAATCTTGCAGCGGCATTTTGGATTAATTGTAGAGGTTTGATAGAAGTGGCTGGAAGACCTGCCAAGAGAGCATTGCAATAGTCCAGCCTGGATAGAACAAGAGCTTGAACTAGGGATGGGCGATAGCACTTATTTTGTTTTCGATACGATATCGATATTTTTCAAGGCAGTATCGTCGATATCGATACCGATTCGATACTTCTGAACTAAACTTTTAAATTATGACATTTATTAAATTATTAAATTACTAAGAGTAAAATGGGTAATGATAAGCACTTAACTATGTTTAAAACGCATTTTAACATTCAATACGCCTTAATTGTAACTTATTAGGTTATATTTTTGTTTACACATGGTTCAAATATGTTTTTTGTTTACACATGATTAAAATCTATAAATACTACAGTTAAACTACAGTCACTTTAGTAAAACCATGGTTCATTTTCACGAGGGACTGCCAGTAACAGGCTGTTGCATGCATAAAATGCAACCTTTTTATTCTGACATACTTTGGATCAATACGCCTATCCCTAGCTTGAACAAGGAGTTGTGTTGCATGTTCTGAAAGAAAGGGCCTGATCTTCCTAATGTTGTATAAAGCAAATCTATATATATATCATAGTAGAATTCTTGTATTGATTTATAATTTAAGTTAAATTTCAGTACATTGTTTCAGATGACAGATACAGTATATAGATTTAGACTACTATTTAGATTGTATTGTAGCTGCTTGATTCTTCGGTTTCTTCAGAATTAAAGCTTCTTCATATATTATGCAATTTGATTCCTCCCCCAACATCTTTACAACACAAAAGCAGTAATTTTGCAGAGTGTGATCAATTGTGTCACGTGTGATTATCACTAATTTTAGGATCATTTTTTAACACATTTTAGGCTCATTTTTGACATGGGTGTGCAAAAAAAGACCCCAGTCCTTGACCTTTGACACATACACACACACACGGAGTCGGCGGGTGTTTTAGGGTTTATATGCACAACCAAATGCTGTAACAGGGGTCAGGGGTTTCTATGGAAACCGTGATTATGTTATTTGGACAAAGACCTTTCACGGTCCATCCACTCGCACTCTCTCTCCGTATCTCACCCTCCGTGTAACTGAATTATTGAAGTAAATGCACGAGCAGCTGTGATTGCTGAACAGAGACAGACAAGCAGTGACGGGAAGGTGTAGCAGAGACCAGACGCTGACGGATGACAGACATACAGGCTGAAGAATGTGAGGATTTCCTGTGCATGATTTGCATATATTTGTATGTGATTGTGTGTTTTAGCAGTCTATAGTAGTCTTAACAGTCGTTGTTCATTAATGACCCTAAATCCACCCTCCCTCCCCCTGACCGTTCCATAATCAGAGCCAAATTAATGAGTTGTTTTCCCACAGTGAGACACAAAGATGGACAGAGAGAGATGCACACTGATGGAATAGAGAGATGCGTCTATGATTGGATGATCGGGCTGTTGATTAATTAATCGCACCATAAGTATATATTTATCATAATATCAGATCTGCTGGCTTTGTATTGCGTTGCATTGTAAGATTGTGCTGTCAGGACACTTGAGCCTGAACTTGGTCTGGTGTTGCTCGATGAGTTGGGATGTGATGATTAAGCGTTGTCATCATAGGTTATAGTGGTTGAATGTTCTTAGTATGCATGCTGATACAGGACAGCGGCTGTCATGGTGGAATGTGCCATTATATGCGTCTGGTTTGTGGAAGTGTTGAACAGGGTTGGGTCGCTCCACAGGCTCATTTCACGCTGTTTTTGACTGATCCCAGTTCACCGAATCAAACATCAGCTTTTGTATTTTTAAGGTGACATTCAAATGAAGATGACTGAGATGTGTGTTAATGCATTTTATTCAGTATATTTAAACCACTGTTTGATTTTTGTAGATCTGTAGGTTTGAGTGTTTTGGTCTTGGTTTCTGTACCCCGCTGTGGAGAGTGTTTAAGTGTGTGCGTGTGACCACTGAAAGGTCATCGTGACACACACACACACACACACACACACACACACACACAGACACACACACAGGGCTGTGGAGATGTAGATAAGAGCTCACATGAGCGTTCACTAGTCAGGACAGATACACCAACACATGACCAAGGAACCCGAATTTCATTACGCTCTGTTAATACTGCATTGTCACTAATATGGTTGGGTGAATATCACTAAATGTGTCACATTACATTGTAGTGTAATGTGATTCAGGGTCTTTTTTTCATTCAAGGTTTAAAGACTGTAAAAGCGATGGATGAATTTTAAAATGATAAATATTACATTATCTTTCAAATGTTGCACACTGATGTGATGCTGTGAATGGAACCGGTCTGATTACTGTTTCGGCTGGGTTTGTTTACAGCTGACTTTGTAATGATAAGCGATGAGCTGATGTTCTGCTGTGTGTTTTCTGCAGAAACTGGCTCGTGACGCGTCAGATGAGGACTGCTTCTTTGACCTGTTGAGTAAGTTTCAGAGCAGCCGTATGGATGACCAGCGCTGTCAGCTGGATGAGCCGTCCAATGGAGAGAACGCAGGAGGAGCGGATCGAAACACACTCAATGACATGATCGGTCAGTCACAGTGTAAGATCGCACAGAATCTGCTGAAGTTTCACTAGTCCTTAAAGGGGTCATATGATGCGATTTCAAGTTTTCCTTTCTCTTTGGAGTGTTACAAGCTGTTCGTGAATAGATAAGATCCCTGAAGTTGCAAAGACTAAAGTCTCAAAAGTTACACCAAATACACAAAATAATGATCTTTAAAAAAGCATCATATGACCCCTTTAAAGGAAAAGAGATTATTACTCACCTCATGTGGTTTCAAACCCGTAAGAATTTGGAGATATTTTGATGAATGTTAACACTGCTTTATTTACATACAGTGAAAGCAGTTTATGATGCAAATTTATGATGCAAACACTTTACAATAAGGTTGCATTTGCTAACATTAGAAGTATTTTTCATTGTTAATGTTAACTAATGCAGTTAGCTAAAGCATTTCTTAATTATTTTCAATATTTATTCATATGTACATTTTAAAAAGCAACTCAAAGGTTGAGTCTGTTTATATTATCTATTAATGGACCTAAACTAACATGAGCTCACAATAAACAGTTATATTTTTATTAACTTACATTAACAAAGATTAATAAATGCAGTAACAATTATATTGGTCATTGTTAGTTAATGCATTAACTAATGTCAACTAATGGCTAGAGTCAATATTTTTAATTAATTTTTATCTTGCATTTTCTGCTTTCATTTTAAATTTAGTTAAAGTTTTAGTAATTTTGTAATATTAAAGTCATATTATTTTTTATAATGTACTACGTTTAATTTTTTTTTTTTTATTGCAACAAATGCATTTGCATTTTCTAATTCACATGAACAAGAGTTCAGTCAGGATCACTTTTGACCAAAGATTTGACGAAGCTCATCATCAGTGTGAAACGATCACAGATTAAAATCATAAAGGTTGAGTTGTTTGTGTTGTTTCTCAGATGCCAGTCTGCTGACGTCTCCTCAGACTGAAGAACTGTTCGATTTGATCGCCAGCTCTCAGAGCCGCCGTCTGGACGATCAGAGGGTGAGCGTCAGTAACCTGCCCGGACTCAGAATTACCCACAATAACCTGGGCCACCTGTGTGGAGAGAGCGACCCTCAGGAGCCCAGCGATGACTTCTTCAACATGCTCATAAAGTGCCAGGTGAGACAGAGAGCCTTCAATCAGACGCGTTGAGACTAAACATGTCTGGTGTGTTTTATCTCACAGTGACGCTAGTTCTGTTCTAAACTCTAGTGAGCTGCTTAGAAACATCTCTCTATTGCCCTGTCCACACGAACGTGGTTATTTTTAAAACCGCAGCTTTTTCGACGCGGTTTGGCCGTTCGTCCACACGCAAACGCAGCACCAGGTCACTGAAACCGAACATTTTTGAAAAAGCCTACCGGGGTGTAGATTTTCAAAAACTCCGGTTGCAGTGTTATCGTGTAGACAGCGAAACCGGAGTTTTTGGCTTGTGACGTCGGAGCATGCGCCGTTATCTCTGCCTACTGGAAACTTTTTCAGGCTTCTGATTGGCCAACATGGCTTTACGGTTGAGATTATATCGCCACCTGTTGGTTTGGCATGCTCTTGACAGTGCTTCATAGCATGCATTTGCGTTTTCATGTGGACGGAGATTTTTAAAAAAACGGAAGATGGAAAAAACTCTGTTTATAAAAAATACCCGTGTACGTGTGGACATGGCCTGTATTATGAGCGTGCTCCCAAGGCTATGAACTAAAACTGTTTAAAATTGTTGGATTGAAGCTAAAATATATGCTTGAAACAATACTTGAAAATTAACTGAACTGAAATAAAATGTTGAAGTACTACAATTACTAAAACTAAAACAAAAAAAAACAAAAAAAAAAAGTATGTTTTTGTTAAATGTTTAATGTACATTTTCGTAATTTTGTTTTGTGCTTTTGTCATTAATTTTTTTAAATGTTTCTATTTAGCTTTATTTGTGTTTCAATTTAAGTTTTCAATTTAAACTTCATTTATCACTTCAACATATTTTATTTCAGTTGGTTGCCAAGGCAGCATTTCTAATTTAAGTTGTAAAATTTCTAAAATTAAAACTGAAATAAAATAAAGCTATCTATCTCTCTCTCTCTATATATATATATATATATATATAAAATCTGGAAATAGAAAAATAAAAGCTAATTCAAAATATAAATATGAAAATAATATGAAAAATGACAAAAAAAGACTAAAATTTTAAATGAAAACTGCAAATAGGAAAATAAAAGCTAATTCAAAACATTAATAAATACTATAATAGTATATAAATAATACTAATATAATAGTACATAAATAACGTCATATACTTAAAGCAAAATCAAAGAATGAATGGGTGTCGCATCATTTTGAATTAGCCAAAATTAAATTCATTTGGAGTTTGTCTTGGTGGTTTAAACCAGCTTGCCAGCACAATCCTTCCGGAAAACATGTTAAGTTGTGAAAGATGTAAAGTTAATGGCATCACTGCTTCTGGTTATTTACTTCCCAGCACTGCTTGTGTGTAAATAGTTCAATAAAAAGAGCTCTATTCTACCTAGAGAACTGACTTTCACTGTGCATGTGTTCAGTCATCCAGGATAGATGACCAGCGCTGCTCTCCTCCTGAAGGGGGTCCGCGGGCCCCAACCGTCCCAGACGAGGATTTCTTCAGCCTAATACAGAGAGTTCAGGCCAAACGAATGGACGAGCAACGCGTGCAGCTCCAATCTTATGAACAGGAGACGGACGAGGACGAGAGAGAGCCGGGGGTCGCAGACTCCTGAAGAAACCCGGGGCCAAATGACAAACAACGAGGACTGAATGAGAGAGGACGTTTCATGGGGAACGTTTTGGATGGACTCTTTCATGAGATGAAGAAATGTGCACAAAGAGACGCATGTGAGACATGAAAACACAAGTGCCATCTCAGTATACGGTGCAGTTTTACGCCTCCTGTGCTTTACAGCCAATGATCCATGACGTTTGATAGAGTTTATATTGAATGGAGGAACAGACATTAGGGACGCAACTCTCTGGGCGAATTCACTAAGAATCAGTGATTCTGTTGTTCATTTGCAAACACTGCCTGCACTGTTTTAGCACCTGATTAACAAAAGAAATTTAACAAATGAGGTGCAAAAACATCTAAAAAATGTCTGCATCTGAACGCACAGCCAGTCATAACCATCTTTTCCATTTGATCATTTATGCATTTAGCAAATGCTTTTATCCAAAGTGACTTGCAGTGCAAAAGAGGAACAAAAGCAACAAACATCACATTATCTACATATTATAGTGATAGTTCACCCAGAAAGGAAAACATGCTGTTAATTTACTCATCCAAGATGTAGGTGTTTATTCATAAAATGCAAGTCTAACGTCACTTTGAGCAAAAAAAAAAAAAAAGAAGCATATCAGGCAACACAAAATTAATACACCTGGCTCCAGTTGATATATTGAGGTCATATGAAGCGAAATTATTGGTCTGTGCAAGAAACAACTTTATTTGCAACATTATTACCTGTAATCCACAGCCTCATGCAAACGCTATGATGTCCAGTTTGTGAACAGATCATTATTTTGAACTGTTTTTTTTTTGTGAACTCGTTCAACCAGTTCGATCTCTGTGAACCCGTGAATCATGCGAGTTCACTGAGATCGCTCTGCTGCGGCGAACTACTGCATCAGCGTCTATGGTTATACGATCTCGGATCAGTTTGATCAATTTGTAGACATTTTGTGTAATTAAAAGTATGAGTATTAGTTAATAGTCTCTTACTGGCCTGTTTAGACAAGCTCTCCATAAAACAAACAAAACAAGCCCTTGCAAATTAATAATAATTATTTTAAAGACGCATATTTTACAGACACTTCAATTTTAACGGTATTTTATTATTTTGATTGCATTTAATATATTATACTTTCAAGAAAGCATTTTCAGTGGGTTCGTAAAAGCTGTTTTATGCATGTTTTTGCCTGTGTTTTTGTTGCATTTACACACTTTTGACCAGCAGGCGTCACCAGCGTGTGGTGTTTCGAGTGCTTCGAAACAGTGAATCATTTTGCGAAGCAATTGGTTCAGTTGATTCGAAGCTTCGAAACGGTTAGTTTCTCACATCACTACTAAAAGTTACTCAATCAAAACTCACTTCGGATGCCTGACAGTCACTCCGACTGGAAATGGGGCAAAATACTGGCGTGCATTGATACACGTTATTGACTTGGTTTTGCACTAATCAGTTGTTCCACAAGGTGGCAGCACTGACCTGGGCTGGTGTTTCACAATAGAAAATGAAACTAATGGCTCGTTTCCACCAAGCGATACCATTCACAACTACTGACAATGGAAACGGAAATAATTGCGTACTGTACTGTACTGAACCTCAGTGGAAATGAGCCATAAAGATACAGAACAACAACAACAACAACAACAGATGCCTGCACTGACAAGCACTTGTGTAAGGGGGTTGATGAAGCTCTCTAGAGCGCATGTGTCGACCACCTGAATTCGCGTTCACCTCAAATGGAGTATACTTTGAAAGGCTATGCGTTCAGCGCATGCGTACAAAACTAAGGCTACGTCCACACGAAGCCAGAGCTAACCCTATCCGATCTTTTTTTCCCCCTCGTCTCAAGAAATATCTGCGTCCACACGAAACTGACACAAAACGATGTAGTATACATGCCAGGCCAGCATGTGGCGCTGTAATTCTGCCACAGAGATACACTAAAAACGGAGAAGAACACTTGGACTATGTGCATAAACCTTGCGCGCGGTATACAAACGAACATGGAACAATACATTTATTAATCTGTGTTAATGTTAGTTAATAAAAAGACAATCGTTCAGTGTTTGTTCATGTTTTTGTTGCCGTTACGTGACGTAGCGGTGTCTGACTAGCGGTGAGACGTGGGCTGATGACGTCATTGTTTCAGAAAATATACGGATTCGCTGTCCACACGAAAACGCAAGGGTGGCGTTTTCAGATTTATCCACTCTCGGACCCAGTTTCAAAAAATATCAGTTTCACTCTTCCAAAACACCGGATCCGTCTGGACGAAATGCCTATACGATACAAAATTGATGCGTATACAGCTAAACGCATCTCCGTGTGGATGGGGCCTAAGTATACTTTTATACTTGTCTATGAGTTTTTAAGTGACAGTATCCATTGACTTTAATTTTATGAGTCACCACAGTTTCAGCTATACACTTCTTTACTGTTCTACTGAAGAAGAAAGTCACCTACATCTTGGATGGCCTGAGGATGAGTGAATTAACAGCGAATGTTTGTTTTTGGGTGAACTATCCCTTTAAGCTCCAGCGACGGTCTGCTTTGTGCAGGCAATAACAGCTCGGTGTTAATTGTATCAGGGGAATGCTACTGACCTTTGAATCTGGTTGATTCAATAATATGCTTCATATTAGCACCAGGTTAAGTTGGACGGCGGGTAGATAATGCGATGTGGTGCTAATGTGGCGCAGGCGTTTAGTGAATTCGCCCTGTTGTTTCCCATGCCAGACGTTCAGATCAAGCTTCTCATTGTCATGTGATTCTCGTCTACTGCCTTAATTAGACCTGCAGACTCTGATTGTATTCTTTGATATTGTGTTTTCTGAGGTCTTCAGCAGTATTTGGTCCGTGTTCATTGACAGAGTCGTGCAGCTACAGCTGTATCTTTGACCTTCTTAATTGCAAGTGCAATTCGGTTTAGTTTTATATTGCATTTTCATTTAGCTGCTGACAGCATTGTAATATAAATCAAGACATTAGGGCTGCTTCTCTTCTTTACATTTCTCTGTTTCTTGCTATGATGCTATGCTAACTCCACAGATGTATTTATTAAAAGTGTTAAGAAATCTGTAAAAACAAACAAACAAAAAAAAGAGACTGTGAAAATACTTTTAAGTGTTGTTAATTGTGGAAAACATGTGAATGTGCACAAAAGCTAATTTAAGCCACCACTTTCATGCTTCACAGCATTTTTTGACTGAGGGTGCTTTTAGGTTTAAAATCAAATAAGTGATTAGCGAGTTTTCCATAACTGCCTCCAAATCACTGAATCGTGCAGTTTGGACTTTGATTGAATTGGTTTAGTTGTTCAGTATTTTAGTCATTTGTGGCCGACTGAACAGCAGAGTAATGGCTCACTCACACTGATGGCAGTTTCATGTAGAAGGTTTAAAAAGTCATGTTGAAATGTAAATCTGCAGTATTTTGGAAGTAGAGCAATCTGAGAAAGTTTTTGAGGATTTTTTTTTTCTTTTTGGAGCAATTATTATTATTAGTAGTAGTAGTATCATGATTGGAGGGAATGAATATTTCAAGTCAATTCACTGCCATCTTGTGGTAAAAATAAGCAAAGGCCATAAAAAATATATGATCATTTTTTGTTAACTCAAGAATGTGTTATGTATCATTCCTAAGTATTTTTGAAGTTACTTTTGTTTTAAGATAAACACCTGATTCATATTGATGAATATATTTGCGACTGATGCATGATGCGTGTAACTAACCCTCGTTTCTAACATGACTTTATCTTACTACAGTGATGAAACCTTCAGCTCACTGACTCCAGATCAATAAAACATAGGGTATATGTGATAGATTCATAATGAAATGATGTGATGATGACGTGATGAGGTTAACTATGAAACTGTATTAGTCAATTATTTAAAAATAGATATACATTTTGACATGGTTTAACTGAAATATTTTATAGTCCATCTGAATTAACTATTTCCTCCTGTATTATGATTTGCCTTCCATATGCTGTAATAAAATGTTATGTCTGAAAGCCTTTGAAAAGCCACTGCCCCAAATGTACATAACTGTTTTATATTTATTTTCTGTCCATCAATTTGGGAATGAATCCCTTGCTTTTAATAAAATGTTGATGAAAGTGATATTAACCGGTCGTCTTCTTCAACAGAGAACTATTAACACAAGTATGAGGCACTTTTGGCTCTGTTCACTGAAACTCGCTTCAAACACATTTAAAACACACATCACTCTCACCAAACTGTTTAATTTGTCTACTATCAGTGTCCAAAAGTGGACATGTGTTGTGTGGTTGGTGGTGTAGTGACTTCACCAGGTATTCAGCCATCTTAAGGGCGTGAACATGTACAGTTTGAAGGGCACTGTGGACACAAGAAATGGAAAGGAAAATGTACCCACCATTCATTGCGCATCACTCTAGCACTTCATTTTGACTAAAATAAAGGCAGTGAAAATGAGTTTCAGAACAAGTTTCAGAACTCAAAACTAACTTCCCAATTTAAATGATGAACTATTGTTTTCTAGCCTTATGAAACACCAGGATTTGAAATCAGGAGAATGGTGACGTACATGCAGCAACTTTTGTAATACAAGTAATAATAGTGCATTTAAAACTATATTCTGACAATTAAGCAATTAAGCAAGCAAAAGCAGTTACCATATTGAAACAGATTGTTGCAATTGTTGTGGTTGCATTTAGATTTTTCCTGTCTAGGGCTCAAACATATAAGGTTCTATTACAGCACTTAGCATTTAGAGTATCATAACACACAACATGCTGTAAAGGAGGGCGTGGATATGGTGTGATGAAGTAAGCCAATTTGTCACGAATGCCTTCCATCTGCCCTAGTCAGAAACTACACTTCCTAGCATCACCCCTGTCCTTCACCTGCACTCACTCGGCCATCACCCGCACCTGTTCCCCATCATCACTCCAATAAAGCCCTGCCTAAAAACACACACCACTAGCCATTTATTGTCTGGTCTCAACCAGGATTACAGACTCCTACCTGCAATCCATTGTTGGATTGCCTTCTCCTACATTAACTTCAGTGATCACCTTCCACAAACTAACCTGTAACAGTGAGTGATATTTACCTGACATTAGTGGTGTGTGTACCCCGTCCTGTCTGTCTCCCTCCTGTGTGTGTCCAGTCCCACCATCAGTCCCTACAAAACACTGTATCAATGCTCCTTCAAGTCCGTAAGACTTTTTAGTACCATTATTTACCTGCATTTCTCCATTTAACCACCTGTTCATAAATACCTGCAATAAATTTCTGTCTTCAGCCTTGTTTATACCCTGACAGAAAACCAGACCTACAAATGGCATGGACCCAGCAGTGTATTCACCTAACCACCCCGCTGACCTGCTCCTCTCTTTCTCAAAAGATGGCCACCCTTTAGAAGACTATGTGGAGGAGGTCCTCAAGCTCTCCCATCTGCTGTCCTGGAGAGATGACACCCTGAAGACTGTCGTCTTGAGTGGGTTGGATGATCCTCTCTTCCAACAATTACCAGCGGGAACTACCACCTGTACCCTGGAACGGTATTGCTGTGGCTGAGTGGTTACTCACTCACTGTAGGCGACTGAACAACAACAACATCAGGGCCACAAAGTCATAGCCTCCCAAAACCACTCTAGTCCTCCTGGTGCTGGTGGTCTTCAAGACACCATCTGCCTTGGAACTCCTCCCAAGCCCTTCTGTACCCCTTCTCACACCTGCCACTGAGCCCAGAGAGCCCCTTACTAGAGGTCTGCACAGGCTTTACACTGAAGCCGCAGCCCAACCCGACCCAACCTGTTAAATTTACAGCCCGAAACCCAAACCCGGAATAGGTCTCTCACAACATATAACATTTTGCAAGATGCTGTATTTCGGGATTACATGCAACTGCCAGTAAATAAATACGTGTAAAGTAACAGTTTCATCAATTCAATTAAAGTTTATTTGTTTAGTGCTTTTCACGATACAAATCGTTGCAAAGCAACTTTACAGCAAATTAAGTTTCTACAATATTTAGTGGTAGCTTATCAGTGGTGACTGTCAGTTAATGTACATATGGCAGTACATATGTATCATCAAGGCACAGATGCCCCCTCAGCACAAGAGCAAAAGAGAAAAAACACTTACTCATCATGAAACACTGCTGGGTTAGCACAGGTGCGACAGTCACAATTTCCATTTGAATCTTGAACTTCTAACTTAAAAAAAAAAAAGGAGTTCGCGGAAAGTGTTGCAGAACTATTTACACAAATTTATCCTTTTCAGTATGCGTTGTGAAGGAAGAGAACGGCATCGACAGTTGATGGTTTCAGCGCCGTCCTCCTCTGATTAAAAGTTACTCCAGCAGCACTGAAGTTTCTCTCGCTGCTGCTACTACTTGCAGGGATGCTGAGTATACTATGGGCCAGTCTTGACAGTAATGGGAAAACGCTGCTGTTGTTTTTCCACCAACCCAAGAGATCCCGCTCCTCTTCCATGTCGTGGTTGCGGCTGATGTATTGGTGAACTTCAACAGTTTCATTCAGGGGAACGTTTACCTACTCCTCAAACTCTGCCACTACAGTCTTGCTTCTTTTACATGCCGGTTCAACAGCTGGCTCGCCACCATTGGTAAAGCTAGCTATCCGACGCCTGGCTTCTTGGTGGATATCCTCTTTGTCAGGTTGAGACAGCATGCTAAGTTGACAGAATTTTGGCCACAGAAATATGGCAAGTTTATGCAGCTCCTTGAGATTTTGATTTTGCGATTCAACCATTCGAGATGTCGCTCACGAATAATGGCCTGGTATGGACTGTCTGAAGCCACAGGCCTGCAGTGGCGCTTAAGCTGCTCATGCCACAAAACAACCAGGTTAAGTGTGGGGTACTGGTCGCCCTCTAGTTCCATCTGAGCCTGGTAGAATGGGCAAAGAAAATCTAGCAGGAACTCAAAGACATCTGGAGATACTTCGTAGATTCTTCTGCTTTCTCCACGGTTGTCAAGTTTTTCACGAAGCTCAGCGCATGCCTCTTTAATTGAATCCAAGGTAAGGAACACAGTGCTGAACCTGGTGTCGGACATTTGTCTGACAGTTTTTGTTAACTGGTTTATTATACCTGTTTACTTGACGTATCTCATGAGTGCTTTGGCTGTGTGACCTCTGGTGCGCAGTCTCGTAGTTCGTCACAATCAAGCAGGGCCGTTTCTAGCCAATTTGACGCCCTAGGCGAAATCCCTATTGCCCCCCCCCCAATTATATATATATATATTAACTCGACAAAGCGGTCTAATAAAGGATGTATTGATCTCGTGAATTAGCAAATTTTACTATACAAATATTTTTTAATTGGATGTTAAAAGTTTATATGGGAATATTACATGACACACTGATCCTTTAACAATGCATTGGCGCAAAAAATGCACACCTTTTGGACAAATCTGCCACAAATATTTGGACAAATGTGCCACAAAAGTGCCACAAATACTGCCTAAACAAAATACTGATTTTGTGCACTTTATTTACTGTACCAATATTTTAAATTGGCCTTTGAACTTAGCTTTATTGCATTTTTTTTGTATAAAGTGCAAGGTGTTTTAGAATGATGAATTATGTGCGAGAAGCTGCTATAAAGACCTGAGACGAGAGCGCAGCATTCAAGACATCGAGTAGCGCATTTACATTGAAATACAATTGAAAAGTACAGCAGTGGAATGAAAAAATGCGTTTTGAGTGAATGACCCTACTAAAAGCTGCTTAGCAAATAAAGATGGCAGAGTATTAATAAAATATAATCGCATGTATAGCCACCAAATTCGAAAATCTGACATCAAGAAAATAAATATGTCTTAGGCAGCAGTTTTACCACAAATATAGACAAGTGATACCACCACAACCACTACCAGAGATATTTAATTGTGTCTGCTTTACAATGAAACACAAGCTCATTGCGACCGATTCCCTGACATAATATATGCATTCATTGCGACCCATTTAACAGATGCATCATTTTAAGTTAGAACAACTTGAACGGCAACAAACAATAACAATACAGCAAAATAATTAACTAACTACGATCATCTAGCCCTCTATTAAACATTAAAAAATTATTTCATCATAGCTTACTCAGTAGTGCTACATTCTTGCACTGCTTGCACGGGAATTTGCGTCAGAGATGTAACAATTAAAATGCGACTTTGTGAAACGGACTGTCCTAAATTCTTGCTATAGTAGCATCATATTAATGCATCCAGCCTATGCTGACTCTCCTGTGTCTCCGTTGGTTCCACCCAGCCCTGAATCACCAGCATCTCTGCTGGTTCTGCCCAGCCCCGAATCTCCTGTGTCTCCACTCCTTCCACCCAGTCCTGAATCTCTTGCGTCTCTATCTAGTTCCGTCCAGTCCTGAGTCTTCTCTGTTTCAGTTCACAGTCGCCTTCGGCAATGTCATTCCCGCCCAGCTTCCCTCTCTTTCCTCCTCTGTCAATTCCAGACACTTCTTCTGTCCCGTCTCCGCTAGGTCCCTTTAGCACCCCAGCTCCTTAGTCAGTGGTCCCGATTATGCTCCATGCTCGCTCATCTCCACCATGGACGGTCATCCCTCTGTCTCTGCTGGGCTCCCTCGTCCCTCTGGCTTCGTCTTGGTCAGGTGTCACCCTGGTTTTGCCATGGGATTCCAGGCCTTTGGCTATGCCTCAACCCTCCATCCCTTCGGCTATACCGAGTTACGCCTTCCCTCCTGCTCTTCTTTTACCTTGGACGCTCTGGTTCCACAGTGGCCTTCCTGGTCCCTGTCTCCGTATCAGTCCCACGAGCTGTCAGCTCCCCCTTAGGCCTCCAGATCAGTGGCGTCACCTTGGCTGTTTGTCTCCTCTGCTTTACCTGGTTCTTCACTTCCCATGGGTCCAACTCTGTCAGTTGGGTCTCTGGCTCCATCCTGGTTCCATCCTCAATCGGTTCTGCCATGGGTCCTCTTCCTGGCTGAAGTCTGGCTGGCTCTATGGTGTTTCTCTTCACCAGCTCCTCACAGTTCAGCCTCAATGCCCCATACCGTTCCTCATCAGCATCAACCAAGGCTCCTTCAACTCCATAACTGTTTTCAGTGCCATTATTTACCTGCATTTGTCCATTTAACCAGGAACTAGTGAATCCAAGCAGTTATTTATTGGTTCAATAAATACATGCTTGGGTTCACTAATTCCTCTCTTCAGCCTTGTTTATACCAGTGACAGCAGTGGGAGTTTATTTCCATTTCTGCAAGAGGAAATGCCCCTTCAAATTGAGGTTTTTTTTTTTTTTTCTTTCACAGAGTGAAAATGAGGATGGAAAATGATAATTTGTATAAATATTGGACCTTTTTTGGTGCAAAAAGTCTGCAAACTTTATAAACTAAACGTGAGAATCATAAAAAATCTGAAACTGCATTTCATGACCACTTTAAAGAAGATAATTTCACATAAACATTTATCATTCAGTTTAGGGCTTTCTAATATGACATTGAATATACTTATTGAAATGTATAGACATTAAATGAATATTCATATACTGTAAATGCATGTGGCTTTATCATATGCACATCTAATGTGTACAACATGAAAATATGGTAATATACACTACTGTTCAATAGTGTGGGATCAGTAAGATATTTAAATGTTTTTGAAAGAAATCTCTTCTGTTAATCAAGACTGCATTCATTTGATCAAAAAATACAGTAAAAACTGTGAAATATTATTGAAGGACTTTCCTTGTCCAGTTCATCCTGCCATAAAAGTTGACAAAAATCATGACTGATAATTACTGCGGACACTGAGGCTACATGATAATGCATGTGAAAATGGTCAGAATGCTGACCCTTTATCCTGAAATATACGGAAATGTCATGAAATGAGAAGCAACCAATCATGAGCTCTGATCCATCTGCTACATTTCACTCCCTCCCAGCAGCCCTCCATCTTCCCAGTGTGCTGTGCGTCAGCCTGAGCTGCTCGGCACTATATAAAGTCGCGGTGGGCAGAGGGAGGGCTGCCGTACAGCGGGTCGCTCAGAAAGACAGGAGCCAGACACACTCAGCCTTCACTGGACCACAGAGACAGACAGAGAGAGACAGACAGGTCAGTACAGACGCACTGAGAGGAAGTGCAATAATACAGCATGGAAATGCCTTATCGTGTGTGTGTGTGAGAGAGAGAGAGAGAGAGAGATTGAGTTAAGCTCTTTAAGGTCTTGCTGTTCACAGGCTGATCACGGTAAAGCTGCATGAGAATGTATTTTGCCAGCTGCAATGTCAAACGGACAAACACGCAGATGCATTTGTGTTGTTTCATCATTGCAATCGTCTTGTGTTTTCTCACGAGCCGTGCAATGCAGTGCTGATCTCACGCTCCGGAATAAACATCTGACAGAATCAGTCGCATGTTCTCCATTGTAAACACGGCCTCATTTAAGTCAAATGGAGCCGCTCTCCTCTCTTAAAGCTACAGCAGCTCCGTCACTATGGCAACAGAAGAAATGTGGTTTGGAAATGTAAAGCGGTCTTTGCTCTGGTTTTGTGGCACACAGCAGCTGCTGCCATAGTGGAACATCTTTTTATAGCGTCTCCTCATGAGCGGTTAGGTGGATGGGAGGGTCATTAATCTATATGATAGGACAGGATCGAGGTTTCCCTCATATCAATGTCACCAGAAACTGAGCACAAGGTGTCCACAGATGCGTCACATGACCCTGAGTCGCATTAAAAGGCATGCAACCAGTTCTAAATTTTGATGGCTGATTTATGAGGTCATATGTGACATTTAATCTAGTTTGCAGACACTTACTGGGATCCCATATTCCTAAAAATATGCTACTCCTGAACAGGGTACGAAAATTTTGTGTGACACTAGTAACTAACGGACGTAGTCAGACTCAATATTCAGGTCATTTCAATCTTCTTTTCTTTGATCCTATTGAAAAATAAACCGCAGAACAGAGTGGAAGACACGCATAGTAAATCTACCACGTCTCCGTCACAGTCACGAACGTGCCCATTGTCAACATATCAAAATCATTCACAATAGCCCCAATCCCTAAATACTGTTCCAGATTACAGTAGCTACAACCTGTCCACATACAAAACCTGAGTATCGGTTAGAACGAAAATTAAATATGGCTTTATTTATTCCGAAACATAAGTCGTGAAAATGTTACATTTGAAATGTTATATGTTGTATATTTTTAATTTTCATTTCATCATTCTACAAAAATGTAGCCTATTCAAGGCACTGTATTTCCTCATCATATTTACTTAAATAAAGGCTATATTACATACACTCTAAAAAATGCTGGGATAAATATAACCCAGCGCTGGGTTAAAAGGGGACAAACCCAGCTATTGGGTTGTTTTGAAAAAACAACCCAACCACTGGATCAAAACAATCCAATAGCTGGGTTTGTCCCTCTGGGTTATTTTTAACCCAACATCTTTTAGAGTGTATAACTAAAGTGTAGGCTATAAAATGATTTTATTCAGAAATGTCATGTTTGTGATTTTTTTATTTATTTGTTAATTTATTTAAATTAATAGACCTAGATATTCGGAAACGGGTGCAGTTAGTCGCCGGTGTCAGTGGCAAAATTTATAAAAATAATCAGAGGATTCTCTGGCAACAGCTGGTCTTAAATTCTTTAGACACCGCACACTACACGACATCCATAATCGGCCTGAGAGTAGTGTTCCCGGCTTTACAGAATGAACCGGATCAGTGCTTGGAACTGTCAAACTCATCAAGAATTAGGCAAAAACACATTTTATTTATTATTTTTATTTATTATTATTATAATTTTTTTTTATTTGAGATGTTTTATTAGTTTATAATAATTATAATTATAATATAATTTAATTGTATTAAAATAGATTAAACAATAATTCTTTAACAAATCTTATATTTGTATAAT